TGGAAGACGGCTTTCGTCCACCCGATCCCTAAAAAGGGTGACCGCTCAGACCCGTCCAACTACCGGCCTATCGTCATCACCTCCTTGTTCTCCAAAACAATGGAGTCCATTGTAAACTGCCAGCTCATGAGGTACCTTGTGGATCACCAGCTGATTAGTGACCGCCAATACGGTTTTCGCTGTGGTCGGTCAGCTGGTAATCTTCTGGTCTACCAAACTCACAGATGGGCGGAGGCAGTAGAGTCCAAGGGGGAGGCATTGGCCGTTAGTTTGAACATTGCGAAGGCCTTCGATCGGGTTTGGCACGAAGCGCTTCTTTCGAAGCTCCCATCCTATGGGCTTCCCGAGAAATTGTGCGATTGGATCACCAGCTTTCTTGCAGATCGGGACATCAAGGTCGTTGTAGATGGTGCAACTCGATTGAAGTGAAGGCTGCGTGCTATCGCCAACGCTGTTTCTTCTGCATATCAATGATATGTTGCAAACCCGTAACATTCATTGCTATGCAGATGACAGCACTGGTGATGCTCTTTACACTGGCCGAGCCAATATTTCTCGGGAAAACATATCCGAGTGCCGTGACAAACTTGTTCTGAAGTCGAGTCTTTGCTGAACAGAGTCTCGGATTGGGGGCGACTAAATCTAGTCCAGTTTAACCCGCAAAAGACATGAGTTTGCGCGTTAACCACCCTTTGTCGTATCTCCACAGTTTCAAGGCACTCCCCTAGTTGCCTCAGCAAGTATCGGAATCCTCGGCGTCGACATATCGAGTGACGTGCAGTTTCGTGGTCACTTGGAAGAGAAGGCCAAATTGGCCTCTAAAAAGCTTGGCGTGCTCAGCAGAGCGGGACAGTATTTCATGCCAGCACACCGCCTGCAACTTTACAAGGCGCAGGTTCGGCCGCACATGGAATACTGTTCCCATCTCTGGGCTGGGGCTCCCCAGTACCAGCTCCTTCCACTTGACCGCATCCAGCGCAGAGCGGCTCGAATCGTCGACGGCCGAGTGCTTTCCGATCGGCTCGATTCAATGGCACTGCGAAGAGATGTTGCATCTCTTTGCATTTTCTTTCGCATATACCATGGAGAGTGCTCTGAGGAATTGTTCGGATTAATCCCAGCCGCCAAATATCGTGAACGCACTACGCGGCAAACGTCCCGATACCGTCCACACCATCTGGATGCTTGGCGGTCCACCACTGTACGTTTCAAGAGGAGTTTTCTTCCGCGTACAACTTCTCTGTGGAATAGTTTACCAACAGCGATTTTTCCGGACCGATACGACTTGGGGACCTTCAATAAAAGAGCGTACTCCTTTCTAAAGGCCCGGCAACGCACCTGTAATTCCCCTGGTGTTGCGGTTGATCATGGGCGGCGGTAGTCACTTAACATCAGGTGAGCCACATGCTCGTTTGCCCCCTCTGCTATAAAAAAAAATAAAAAAAATAGTAAAATGCTGCCGAGCATTCGTTTACAACACGCACAGAATGATGTTGTGTTCGTGTTCGTTTACGCAGCCACTACGCGGCGATAATTATATTCATATTTAAAAACGAATCTAATTTATCCATTTAAGTTATCAAATAGCTATCCTATTTCACACTTTTGATTTCTCAGTTACTTAGTTTCTATAATGGTTCAACTTGAATAGATACAAAAATATCAAAGTTAAAATAATATATTTGAGTATGAAGAATCTCAAGGTCGCTTAGCAAGCTATGGAGAGGGCTGCGCTCGGAGTTTCTCTGCGTGATAGACTTCGTAATGAGGATATCCGCAATAGAAGCACAGTAACTGATATACCGCAACCGATCAGTAAGCTGAAATGGCGATGGGCCGGCCATATAGCTCGAAGAACCGACGGCTGACGGGGAAGAAAGGTTCTCGAGTGGCAGCCTCTTTTCGATAAACGAATTGTAGATTGGCTCCCAATTGAGTAAGTGACGCCAAGTAAGAGATGCAGGAAGTCAAAGAATGTAGGTGGCTCGGGACTATGCTTTGTGGCTTTCCTTGGGAGACGCCTAGATATATTCAGCAGTACATTTGTGATAGGCTATATGATGATATATTCAGCAGTACATTTGTGATAGGCTATATGATATATTCAGCAGTACATTTGTGATAGGTTATGATGATATATTCAGCAGTACATTTGTGATAGGCTATATGGTGATATATTCAGCAGTACACTTGTGATGATATGTTCTATAATCTAGATCTAATGTCATCGACACACTTTTAATATAAATTATTCATGAAATTGTTATACAAGAAATATATGAGTAAGTGCAAGTGTTCTAATTTTTTTTACGAAATAAAATATGTACAAAGTACACACAGCAACAATCTTTATGAACATTCCACTTTTATTATCATAGCTTTAAGATCAAATACTTTTAAGATTTTATGCTTATGCAAAATAATGCTATGCATGGCTGCAGCAACATTTTGTAACGACCCTGAACTACATTCTATATGTTAGATATTGTAAAAAGGCTAACGTTTATACTGTAACGGTTATAGCTTGTGAAAGTCCACTGCTGAACATATGCCTTCCCAATAGATTGCTTCGTAGGGGGATATTTGCTATAGTTGCCACACTTGGCAAACGGATTAACAGCAGCAGTTTTTATATTTTTAGTCGTTATAAGGAAGACGCCGCTGCCCATTTCCAGATTTGTTTCCCTCTGTCGCCTCTTACGGCACCCACGGCATGATTTCTATCTATTTATCTATCTTTCATAAAAACACTCACGGCTGTCACCCAGAGGGGTAGGCAGAGACCACGGACTTCCATTTGACACGATCCTGACATACTTCTTTCGCCTCCTTTACATCCATATATCTACGCGTACATGCTAGTCGGTTAAGGGTACTTTTAACGTGGCCCATATTCAAAATATAGCCAATTTGGACGATAAACTTTTTTCTAGGGCGTCCCTTCCCGACTCTGCCGTTCACATCTGCCATATAAATTTGCTTTGTCACTCTTTCCTCATTCATTCTTTCTACATGACCAAACCACCGAAGCATCCTTTCTTAATCCTGGTCACAACATCATCTTGCATACCACATTTATCTCTTATCACGCAATTTTTCACCCTGTCATTCAGATTCAACCCTAGCATACTCCTTAAAGACCGCATTTCTACAGCATTTATTCTACTTTCGTGTTTCTTCTGCCACACCCAGCTTTCACTACCATACATTAAAGTAGGGACTAACACAGCATTATGAATTACCATACGTGCCTTTTTTGTATATACATATATATATATATATATATATATATATATATATATATATATATATATATGTATATGCTATTAATATATTATGCTAATAATACAGCAGGTTATGCGATGCCAATAACATATACACGTATATGTGAAATATTTCCGCACTACTGTCAATTGTAATAGCACTACGAGCCGTGGTAGCTCAGGGTCGCTAGCGCTCGATGTAAATTTCACAGTACGCGAGCAACTCGGGTTCGAGCCCCGCCGCCACCAATGAAATTGTGAATTGCAATTTTAAGTGCTAATGTACCACTTGCTCGGCGGCGAAAGGAAACATCGTGTCAAAACAAACCTAAATGTTTGAGAAAATAAAAAATATTTCGAAGACATGTGAAATCTGCCAACACACAGTGGGGCAACACGGCGGACTAAAACTAGGGTTGCCACCTTTTTGAACAAATATAATATTTTTCAAAAAAGATGCAAAAATATAGTCCTTTTGAGAAATTTTGAAGAAAGTACGGTACATATTTATTTTTAATCCGTGTATTTTTCCATATATATTTGTTTCCATATATGTTGTGTTTGTTGTTTGTCTTTGCTTTGGCCGTCAATGATCTTACCATATTACATTCTACCTTACCTTTAAAATAATTATAGGAGTCTGAGAAAGAAAGAAATTAACAATTATTTCTTTATCAAATTGACATGCTTTTTTCTTTCTTCCTTCAATTTAAATTCATGATGGAAAAAATTCTTTCCGTAAAACTTACTTGTTCCAGACTAGGGCGTCAGTAAAATTATGGATAAAAATACAGTACTTTTCGTATTATATTGTTTTTCCATAATATATAGTACGATCGATTCAAATATAGTACGATACTATATATTATAGTACGGGTGGCAACCCTAACTAAAACCCTCTCAAAAGTGATAAGAGGCCTGTACCCAGAAGTGGGACGTATATTATAGGCTGCAACTTAAGCCTTTAAGTTATGTGTCAAAATAATTGATAAATAAATATTATGTGGTGACAATCGAATCAACTTCACCGTAGCATCTAATACGCGCACGTGCGTTTTTAATTGTGTGTATAAATCAGAAGTGTACGTAAGTATTTTTATGTACATATTGTAAACGTACATAAAAATACACTTCAAACTGATTTATAAAAAATCAAATCAAATCAAATCTAATATCCAATATCAAATTTAAACGTGGTAGAGCCATGCGGCAGTTATTTTAGTATAGTTGTAGCACGAATGGGTCGGCTCGACCAGGGAAGGGCACCACGCTCTCACAGAATACTAGCGTAAAATAGTAGCTTAACGCTGCTGTGTTTCGTGTGGTGAGTGTAGAGAACCGGAGACCCTTTTTACTGGAAACAAGGGATTCCATCTTAGCCCTCAAGGGTAACAACGCATATGCATTTTGATTCGTAATCGAGGATGAATGTAGATGTCTACCATCAGGTGGACTGTGTGCTCGTTTGTCACCTTATCCTATAAAAAAAAAAAACACACTCGAGACCCCGTATCATTGATACGGCTGATACGGCGGTAGCTACGCTCCTGGTTCGAAATTATTTATCTTCTTTCATAATCTCTGCGCTGAGCACGCGGTTTTGCATTCGCTGTACCAGAGCTCCCGCATCTTCGCTGCGCTCCATACATGTTCTATACATATATGTGTAAATATAATAAATGTACATTCTATGCTTAAAATTATTACAGTTCATGGTAAATTTGTAAAATTACTTACTTAGAGACCGGGACGTTGGTGAGGGACATGAAGTTGTTGCGAACACTGCGCAGGCTTGCTAGGACCTGCGCGAATGGCGTCACAATCAAGTCTTCGCCGTGGCTGTCAACAAAAATATGAGAATTAATAAATTATTTTTGCATACAAGACATAAGTTATACAAGTATAAATGAACTAATATACAAATGTAAAATAATATTAGCAAAAGAGCAAACTGTGATAAAAGCTTAATTGATGTAAACAGAGAGATAGGTTTCACTAAAAAGTTTTTAATCATCATCATTTAAATACAGTACACGCTTTGGTAATTACAAGCGAATCTAAAAGTAAAGAGGAGAGGATGAAGGAAGGAAAAGAAAGTTTGAAGACGACTTATTGAGTGTGAGAAAAAAAATGAAATATCGAAGTAATGTTCCATCAATCCATTACAGCCCATATAAGTCCACCGCTGAACTCAGGCTTCCACCATAGATTGACTCATAGGAAGGATTTTGCCATAGTTGACACGCTTGGCGAGTAGGCTGTCAATCTATACGTGGTGGAGCCATGCTGCATATATTAGTAGCATAGTTGTAGCACGAATGGATCGGCTCGACCGGGGAAGGACCACGCTCGCACAGAAATCCAGCGTGAAATAGTAGCTTAATGCTGCTGTATTTCATATGATGAGTGTAGAGAACCGGAGACCTTTTTTACTGGAAACGAGACATTCCATCTTAGTCCTCACGGGTGATAACGCATCTGCATTTTGTTTTGTAATCGAGGATATATGTAGATGTAAATGGGCCGCAGCAACCACTTACCATCAGGTGGACTGTGTGCTCGTTTGTCACCCTATCCTATAAGAAATTCGCAGTTTTTTGATTATTATTTTGAGTTGTTATCAGGAAGATGCTGCTGCCCATCTCCTGCCTGTTTCCCTCTGTCGTCTCTTACGACACCCACGGGAAGATATGCGGTAGTGGATATTCTTATACCACCACTACACGGAAGTAGTGTTATGTATAATTTATTTTACTTGTATGTATGTATAGTTAAAACCAAAAGTAAGTCTCGCATAATAGACCGGGAGCTGGTGTCAGATGACGTTCCACGATTTTGTCGTGCATGCCTTTTTAAGGCTTGATAATTAACCCTAAAATATCAGAGATTGTCGGGGCGTTAGCCCCCACGCGTCCTCTTCATAAGGAAAAGCGCTTTTCTTTGTGTAGCGAATTTTTGTGTTTTTCCGTGATAGTATACTGCATGCCATTGTAATATACGGAAGTTCAAGCAAATTGAAGCTCTAATAATTGATGGCATGCACCCCGCAGTGGCCCAAGATGATCAAAAGGTTCTGAAAACTTGAAAAAAATTGTTTTTGCATGCCGTTTTGTATTTCATGAATTTACATTATTTCAAGTCATGAACGTAAATAGCATGCATGTAGCTACAGCCCAACATACCAAAATTGTGGAAAAATTAAATAAACATCAAATTTTCAATGGAAACAAAAAACTGAAAAATGCCGTGACTTCTTCTTGCATGCCGCTTTGTATCGTGTTAGTAGATACTATTTTAAGCATTATAAGCATTATTTTTACCGAAATGCGAAATGGCATGCATGTAGCTTCATGAAAATTGTTTAAATAAACAAAAAAACGAGGTTTAGTATTTTATAAGAGTAAGATAAGTTATATATGAAATAAATATAATCATCATCATCATCATCATTACAGCCCTTTACAAGTTCACTGCTGAACATAGGCCTCCCCTAAGTAACGCCACAAAGCACGGTCCTGAGCCACCTGCATCCATCGACTTCCTGCATGTCTTACCAGGTCGTCACTCCCATCTAGTTGGGGGTCGCCCTACAATACGCCTACCGGTACGAGGCTGCCACTCGAGAACCTTTCTTCCCCATCGGTTATCGGTTCTTCGAGCTATATGGCCGGCCCATTGCCACTTCAGCTTACTAATCCGTTGGGCTATGTCGGTCACTCTGGTTTTACTGCGGATATCCTCATTTCTGAGTCTATCACGCAGAGAAACTCCGAGCATAGCCCTCTCCATAGCTCGCTGAGCGACCTCGAGCGTCCTCATACGGCCAGCAGTGAAGGACCACGTCTCAGATCCGTAAGTCATCACTGGCAACACGCACTGGTTGTACACTTTAGTTTTCAGAGATTGAGGTATACCTGACGAGAAGATGTGTCGTAATTTCCCGAACGCTGCCCAGCCGAGTTGAATCCGTCGATTGACCTCTCGGTCGAAGTTGGACTTACCTAGTCGGACTATTTGTCCCAGGTAAACGTACTCGTCAACAACTTCGAGCATAGTGCTCCCAACAACTACCGGCATAGGTGTGACATGGACATTAAAAATGATCTTTGTTTTGTCCATGTTCATCTTAAGACCTATCCGTTGGGAGATACTATTGAGGTCATTGAGCATAGTGCTAAGGTCCTCCAGCGATTCTTCCATAAGGACTATATCCATATGAAGAATATAGCCATTGATGTTAATACCGTATCCTTTCCAGTCCAGTAGATTGAAAACGTCTTCCAACGCAGCGGTGAAGAGTTTCGGGGATATAACGTCACCCTGTCTTACACCTCTCTGCAGTTGGATAGGTTTCGAACTCTGTAGCCCTACTGTACAAACACTTCAGCACTTCGATATACCGACTGTCAACTTGGCACCGCTGAAGGGACTTTAGCACCGCACAAATTTCTACGGAATCAAAGGCTTTCTCGTAGTTCACATACGCCAGTCAAAGTGGCAGATTGTACTCTTCGGTCTTCTGTACAATCTGCCGCAGGGTATGTATGTGGTCTACTGAATACTGAACTGATGTACTGAAGCCTTTTCGGAAACCGGCTTGTTCGGGAGGCTGGAAGTCGTCGAGTCTGCGTGCAAGACGATTCATAATGACTCCCGAAAACAGCACGTAGACGCGGCTCAGAAGGGAAATCGGTCTGTAGTTCTTCAAGAGAGCGTTGTCGCCTTTCTTAAAGAACAAGACCACCGCACTTCTGCTCCACACCTCCGGAGTAGTGCCACCATGGAGGACGGAATTTGAAGAGCTTCTGAAGGACTTCAAGTACCGGTGTTCCACCCGCTTTCAGAAGCTCCGCTGTAATTCCACCCTCGCCTGGGGCCCTGCCGTTTTTAAGGTGCTGGAGAGCCATTCTAATCTCGCTCAGACTGACGTCCGGGATATCATCGGAATAGTGTCGGGTAAGACTTGCTCTTGGATCGTTACTCACACTTTCGTGTGGCTCCAACGATGATGTGTACAGCTGCCCATAGAACCTCTCAATCTTACTCAAAATCTCAGGTGTTCCTGGAAACGATGCTGCCACACTCAGTCTTCAGCTTTGACAGTTGGCTCTTTCTGACAGACAGATCTCTGGCAAAGACTTTGGAGCCCTGGTTCCGCTCGATCGCTTCTTTAATACGAGCAGTATTAAAGCTGCGTAAGTCTCGCCGCATGCATTTGGAGATCAGTCTGTTCAGTTGCCTGTGTGCTGTCAAATCTGTTGACGATTGCAGCCTCATCTCCCGTCTAACAGTCATGAGATTAAGAGTGTGATCGGAGAGTTTTTGTGTTCTTCTGCGGCGGGTCTTGCAGAACTTATAGCTCCGACCGCATGGACAGTTTCCACGAGCTTGTCATTCATATCGTCCACTGCATTGCAATCTTCTAGGCACTGAAAGTGGTTACGTAACTCGAGCTGAAAGGTTTCGGGATTCTGGATTAGAGCACGAAGGGGACGGAGCGTTGATTTCATTAGACGAGACCTCTCCAACTTAACGTTTAGGTTCAGTGTGCCTCTAACCATTCGGTGATCGCTGCCGGTTTTCACCCTTACGATCACTGAGACATCACTGAACAGTTGGCGTCTGGTCGTCATAATGAAGTCAATCTCATTTTTTGTCGAACCGTCGGGGCTCGACCAGGTCCACTTCCTGTGGCGCCGCTTCTGCAAGAAAGAGTTCATCATAAAGAGTTCCTCTTTCTCCATAAAGTCAGCCAGCTGCTGCCCCCTACGGTTCCGTTGCCCTACTCCAAATTTCCCTAACGTCAGCTCACCGCCTTCTCTTGTGCCTAGTTTTGCGTTGAAGTCTCCCATCAACACCGTGTAGTGGGTTTTGGAGGAATGCAGGGCTCTAGAAATATCCTCATACATTTCCTCCACCTCCTCATCGGAATGTGCCGAGGTTGGTGCGTAGACCTGTATGACCTTCAGCGAATACCGTTCGGTAATTCTGAGTATCAGGTACGCAACCCTCATCGACACACTCTTAATCTTTAAACGTTGTTGACGAGATACTTGTGGACGATAAATCCGACACCTCCTTGGGACAGATGGTCGCCCTCCCGGTGATAGAACAAGTTGCCGGACTCGAGGATTACCGTGTTCCGGAATAATCCAATTATATGCCAGCGAAACTTGTCTACCTCTTTTTCCAGCTCCAGTATCTTCTCGTCAGTCCTCAGGGTGCGTGCGTTATACGTTGCCAGGTCGAGTCGTCGTAGGTGGCAACCGAACCTCCACCGGAGATTCTTAGCACCCCCTGCCCCGCCGTTACCATGGTCGCCACCGTAGCCAGGAATAGCGGGGCCGCCGGGGACTGGGGGCCGTTTGTTTGCGTCGTTGCTCATGGGGGGATATTTGCCATAGTTGCCACGCTTGGCGAGCGGGTTGGCAACCGCAGTTTATTATTATGTTATTGTTGTTATTAGGAAGATGCTGCTGCCCATCTCCTTTCTGTGTCCCTCTGTCGCCTCTTACGACACCCACGGGAAGATATGGGGTAGTGAATATTCTCAACCGCCACTACATGGCATAAATAAATATAGTAACAAAATTTATTTTAATATAATTATAGGATTATTGATAAGTTGCATTTTTCTCATTGCATCAATCAATGTTGATAAAAATAATTTTTGGAGCACATTTTCGAAATTGAAAACCCCGCGAATCTAAAAGTAATGTTGTCCAAATTTTGATGATGAAGAGGACGACGAATCGAATAATGACGATGACAGCGATTGCCAATCCGATATTGGCTACACAACGGAAGAAGAGTCCGTACATAGCCGCGATGATGATGAT